GTGTATAAAGAAGAGTCTAAAAAATTGAATTGAATCCGATAAACTGGCTTAGGCACGTAAAATCTTTGACCCCCATTAACCAACCAAGCGTGAATTTTTGAAAAAGTATTTGACAATGATCTTGAACCGGAATTTTCACAAAGATATTTGAAAATCAATTTGAGGTTGACAAATGGTATACAAAAATTATTATACACAACATTTTACGGAAATGTTTCTACTTTCGAGTCAAGTCATTGAAACTTTCGTTCTCCCACCACGATTTTCTGCAGAAAATTTAGGATTTGCGAAAAGTGTAAAACACGTCTTTAATTAATTTGTATACCCATGCAGAGGATATTATAATTTTGTCGTGAAATGTGTAACGCATAGGAGACATCACCGACCCCATAAAGTATATATCTTTATCAGCATCAACAGCCGAGTCGATATAGCCATGTCCGTCTGCCAGTCTGTCTGTTTCTATGCGAACTAGTCTCTCAGTTTTAAAGCTATCTTAATGAAACTTTGCAGAAGTCCCTCTTTTTGTTGCACATATGTCAAAACCAGCTGGATCGGATAACTATATCATAGAGCTGCTATAGGAACGATCAGTAGAAAAATAAGTTTTTGTATGAAAAAATATTTTGTTTATGAAGATATCCTAACCAAACTCCGCATTTATTAGTTTTACTATACTCCTCAAATATAGGCAAAATCATATTACGATCGGACCACTATATCATACAGCTGCCATAGGAAAGATCGGTCAAAAATTAAGTTGTTGTATGGAAAAATATTTTGTTTATCAAGATATCTTGACCAAACTCGGCATTTATTAGTTTTACTATACTCCTCATATATAGGCAAAATCATATTAAGATCGGACCACTATATCATACAGCTGCCATAGGAAAGATCGGTCGAAAATTAATTTGCTGTATGGAAAACTTTTTTTTCATTCAAGATATTTTGATTAAACACGGCATTTAAAGATTTCACTATGCTCCCTTCATTTTTGCAAAATCTTATTTACATCGGACTACTTTATCATATATCAGCCATAGGAACGATCGGTCGAAAACTAGGTTTTTGACTAGAAACCTTTTTGGTTTATCAAAATATTTTGACCAAACTCGACATTAACTATTTTCCCTGTGCTTCTTAGATACGGGCAAAGCACTATTAGCTTTATGAAAAGGTTGGGTCTGCAAGGGTATTAGATCTTCGCTGTGCCGAAGATAGCCTTTCTTTCTCGTTATAATTATCTTTGAAAATCAATTTGAGGTCAACATTTAGTTTCACATAACCGTTTCCGCTTATTTTCCCCACTTGTGGGTGGAAATTCCGAAAACCCCATCTAGCTATATTGAAAATTTAAGGTTCACGGGTCGTACGTTAATCCCCGATCATTCAGTCAGAACACGCTTTCTAGAAAACTAAATACACAGATGACATAGCAAAAGTAGGGAGCCCAGTTCGGTTTATTTGCTATAGTGTATTAATTTGTTGATTTACACGTCGTTAAAGCAGCAACAAAATTTAAATGAGAACTAGATTAGCATTCACGTGCACAGAACGAGTTTTTTGATTCAAACATATTTATTCGGTTCCAAAAATAGCCAATCAAGTCAGCATTCGCATTCGCATATAAATAAAATTCATATATCGATCTTAATAGCATTTTGTTAAATATAACAAAACAGTTGCCAACAATCTTTAAGTTCGTGTGAATTTTCTAGAATGGAAAAGGTAAATACCAATTGTTGCCGCAGGTCAAGTCGCACAACCGTTACTCTCTTTCCCTCTCCCTCTATCGACAATACAATAACAAAAGAAGGTTGGCTCTAGAAAAATCGAAACATTTCGAACAGTTCCCTCTCCCTCTAACACATAAGCAAACGCATCGAATGTACGCGTCGTTCGACGCGTTTCGGGAAGAGAGCGTCGAGAAATTTCGAAAAGAGAGCGCCGAGGTATAAATACGGCTGAAATTTTCTCTTCGCCACAATTGAATTCAAGCAAGCGACGTGATAACATCACAAACCAAAACAAGCGACTAGCTGAACAAGCTAAAAACACAAACTAAACAATTTTAAAGAATTTTAACTGAAGAATAAATTAAAAAATTCGAGTGAAAAGTAACGTTTGAACCAATTAATAAAGAGCAACAAGAAGGAAGTGATTTGTACAAGAAAACCAAGTAAAACCGATTCATATCGAGCGAAGAATCAAGGAGAACACACAGAACAGAGAATGCCAGCCATTGGTATTGATTTGGGCACCACGTACTCGTGCGTGGGTGTCTATCAGCATGGCAAGGTGGAGATAATTGCCAATGACCAGGGCAATAGGACGACACCCAGCTATGTGGCTTTCACAGATTCGGAGCGTCTCATTGGCGACGCGGCCAAGAACCAGGTAGCGATGAACCCCAAGAACACAGTATTCGATGCGAAGCGTCTGATTGGTCGCAGGTACGATGATCCGAAGATAGCGGAGGACATCAAGCACTGGCCCTTCAAGGTGGTCAGCGACGGAGGCAAGCCTAAGATTGGCGTCGAGTTTAAGGGGGAGCAGAAGCGTTTTGCGCCCGAGGAGATTAGCTCGATGGTGCTGGTGAAGATGAAGGAGACGGCGGAGGCGTACCTGGGCCAGAGCATCACAGACGCGGTCATCACAGTGCCCGCCTATTTCAACGACTCGCAGCGCCAGGCTACCAAAGATGCCGGCCACATAGCCGGACTGAACGTGCTTAGGATCATTAACGAGCCGACCGCTGCGGCTCTGGCCTATGGCCTGGACAAGAATCTGAAGGGCGAACGCAATGTTTTGATCTTCGATCTGGGCGGCGGCACTTTTGATGTCTCCATTCTAACCATCGACGAGGGCTCACTGTTCGAGGTGCGGTCAACGGCTGGAGACACACATTTGGGCGGCGAGGACTTTGACAACAGACTGGTAACCCATCTGGCGGAGGAGTTCAAGCGCAAGTACAAGAAGGATCTGCGCTCCAATCCTCGCGCCCTGCGCCGCCTGCGCACTGCGGCGGAGCGAGCCAAGCGCACGCTCTCGTCGAGCACAGAGGCTACCATTGAGGTGGACGCGCTGTTCGAGGGCCACGACTTCTACACGAAGGTGAGCCGTGCCCGGTTCGAGGAGCTGTGCGCCGATCTGTTCCGCAACACACTGGCGCCAGTGGAGAAGGCGCTCAACGATGCCAAGATGGACAAGCAGCAGATCCACGATATTGTGCTCGTCGGTGGCTCGACACGCATTCCCAAGGTGCAGAGCCTGCTTCAGCAGTTCTTCGGCGGCAAGAGCCTCAACCTGTCCATCAATCCCGACGAGGCGGTGGCCTATGGCGCCGCAGTCCAAGCAGCCATACTTAGCGGCGACCAGAGCGGCAAGATCCAGGACGTGCTCCTGGTGGACGTTGCGCCCCTTTCGTTGGGCATCGAGACGGCCGGCGGCGTCATGACCAAGCTGATTGAACGCAACTCCCGGATCCCGTGCAAGCAGACGAAGACCTTCTCAACGTACTCTGACAACCAGCCGGGCGTCTCCATTCAGGTGTACGAGGGCGAGCGCGCCCTCACGCAGCACAACAATTCGCTGGGCACGTTCGATTTGTCTGGCATACCGCCGGCACCGCGCGGCGTGCCACAGATCGAGGTCACCTTCGACATGGACGCCAATGGTATCCTGAACGTGACGGCCAAGGAGATGAGCACCGGCAAGGCCAAGAACATTACCATCAAGAACGACAAGGGCCGCCTCTCGCAGGCAGAGATCGACCGCATGGTGAACGAGGCCGAGCGCTACGCGGACGAGGATGAGAAGCACCGAGAGCGCATCACGGCTCGCAACAGCCTCGAGAGCTACGTCTTTGGCGTCAAGCAGGCCGTCGAGCAGGCCAGTCCCGACAAGCTGAGTGAAAGCGATAAGTCCTCCGTGCTGGACAAGTGCAGCGAGATCGTCAAGTGGCTCGACGCCAACACCACAGCCGACAAGGAGGAGTTCGAGTACAAACTGAAGGAGCTTACTCAGCACTGCTCCCCCATCATGACCAAGCTCCATCAGCAGGGACAGCCTCAAGGAAACGCCAACTGTGGTCAGCAGGCGGGCGGCTTTGGTGGTGCTGGTGGCTACCAAGGACCCACCGTGGAGGAAGTCGATTAAATTGCATTCCCCCAGCATTCTAGTATTTAGTTTTAGCTTTATGTTCCTCCGACTGAAAGATTTTTGGTTGAGATATCTCATTTTATGCCAAACACTCGCTAGTTAAGAGAATTAATTGTTAAACTATTCCTAAGTTAGCAACAAATTATAGAATAAAACATTAATTTATTATTTTTTAAAAAGAAACTCAATTGTCTTTGAATTTCCTTTGGTTGGAAAGGGTTCAATATGTAATTTTCGCGTTGATTTTCTTCTGTACAATAGTTCGAATTTAAAAGTGAATGAAAAGCTCGAGCCGGAAAGGTCATCCGCATGGAAATGGCTGGAATCTTGGGCGTAGCCGCTAGGGAATATTTAAATAGGTAGAAGTTTCTAGTTTTTAATGTGAATTGTTTAGTTATCAATTTACATTTATAATATCTAGAAACCATACAAGTTTGGCGTATTAAGAAAACCAAACATCTAAATTTTCGTAATGTTATGAATACGCGACGAGATTTAACTCTTTATCTTGATGAAGATATACACATAAATATTTATATATGTGTGTATTGTATGGGGTCGAAGATATTTCCTTCTGTCTTAGCCCATTTTCAATGGGTTTCGACCATTTTCTAGAAACTTCTTTACTTTGAGTTGTCATGGCGATGTATTCAAATTATGTTTATTCGATTCACAATGAATTTGAATCAAATTAAAGCGCGCGCGCTGCCTTTTAGAAACAATCGATAACAAATTCCAAGCAAGTTGGCAACGCCAACTGCGTTAATATTTAGTTGTGCCGGCCGGCATAAAATTGAAATCAATTCTGCCTTGCTTTCCTTACGTGCCGTATTAAAAGCTGTGGATTTTAACAAAAGTAAATTCAGCGCAGCGAGAGCAACGTTTTTAAATTTACAATACAAAAAACAATAAAAGTTTCACCAGCTATTTCTCAGCCGATGTCAGTGTGTGTGTGTGTTGTGTGTCAGTGTTCGTGTGTGTGCCTATCGATAGACCGTGCCTCGACGCTGCGACGAAGAAGGTACAGATAGTGAGTAGCAAAAAGACGCCGTAGCCGTTTTTCATTTTCGGAGGGATTTTCTAAGCGTGCCTGCCATTTGCAAAAAGTAATTAAATGTGTGAAAAAAATGCAGAGTTTATGCGAATTGTGAACAAAATAATGCCAAGAAACGTTGAATCCGCGGTAATAAATATATTTTGCAACCTGAAATAAATTTTTTTTTTGTATTTTGACGCAGCGCAAATCGCAAGTTGAGCACGCAAAAATAAGAAGGCAAGCGCAAAAGGAAACACCGAAACGGCGAATACGAAGTACGCACAAATTATTTGAGGCAAGAGTTGTGTGTGCATCCAGATCTGAAGCCGACGACGCAGCTTTCTGAAAAAGCGCGCGCATAGAATAAAAAATTAACGAAAAAATGGAGGATACTGCGGTGGCCAAAAAGCGCGGACGCCCGTCAAAGTTGGCGACGGGCGCTGCAGCTGCACCGACGGGCAGTCCCGGCGATAGCAACATTCCAACAATACCCAAAAAGCGCGGTCGTCCGCCCAAGGTCAAGGGTAGTGGCCGTGGCAGGCCGCCAAAGTCCGCAGCCGCTGCGCAAAACAGCGATAACGAGGATCTCGACCAGGATGAGCTGGGCGAGGCCAACGGCGATCTGGGCATGCCGCCATTAAAGGTCAAGGCACGCGGTCGTCCGCGCAAAAGTGGCCCACCTGTACAAGTGCAGGAGAACAGCGGCAACGATGACGACGACATGGATTCCTCGACCGATGAGAAGCCGCCGGTGAAGCACCAAAAGTCGCCGTCTTCGGCCTCCAAGCGCCGCAAGCTGGGACGACCCCAAAAGCATAAGCCCAGTGAAGATGAAGATGGTCAGTTTGGCTAGTACAGTTTGCACAGGCTGTGATCAACTGCATATTTCTATATATAAATTACCTTTGTACTCTCACACAGAATACGATGATGACGATGAGGAGCCACGTCCAGTGGGTCGTCCATCCACTGGAGCCGTCAACTTGAACATTGTGCGCACCGGACGCGGTCCTGGACGCCCCAAGAAGAATGCATCGGCTGGTAGCGGAAAGCGTTCCGCGTCGGCCGCTGCCGCCGAATCAAATAGCGATGATGCACCCACTGTGCCCAAGAAACGTGGACGCCCGCCACTGTCGAACAAGCCGGCCGCGTATGTGCCATCTGGAAGACCACGTGGGCGCCCAAAGGCCCAAGCCGCACTCGTCAAGTCCGCTGCCGATGACGATGATGACCAGTCACAACAGCCGGACGATGATTCCGATGAGGATAATGTGGAACCTGTTGATGCCGAAGAATCGACGGCAGTGGCTGCAGCTACGACCACGCCAAAGAAACGCGGACGTCCCTCATTGGCGGGCAATCAAAGCTCATCGGGCAAACCGCGCGGTCGGCCCAAGTTCAAGAAATCGCCCACCAATCAGGCGGATGACGATGGCGACGATCAGGATTCAACTGGCGATTTGGCTGGTGACGAGTCCAACGGGAATGTGCCCAAGAAGCATGGACGAACTACATCGGGCAAACGCGGACGCCCAAAGTCAGCCAAATCAACGGATTTGAATGGCGACGACAGTCTAAGTGGCGATGCTGACGACGACAATGACGGAGCCGATGACGACGGCGGCGATGATGAATCCGATGAGCCAGCAAAGCAGCAGACGAGCATCAAGGATTCAAAATCGGAGCGCAAGGAATCCGATTCGCCAGAAAATGGCGATGGAGATACCGCCAACGATAATGATGAATCCGTTGAGTGCATCTCCGATGAGCCATCCTGGGCTGGCGCCTAATTTTAGTAGTATTTAAGCAACAACACATTAAATTGGACATAAAAACAAAGCAAATAGCAAGAGGAAACCCTAAGAACAGACAACCTTGTACCCATTAACCACATCTGGAGTACTCTAGGTAGTTATTCGATCAAGATCAATCAATTTTTCCAAAAATGAAAAAAAAAAAACATCAAACAAATCACATTTTATCATGTTTTTTATGTTAAATTCACCCCTCTCAGTCCCCCGCACCCTCAAACTTATATGTAATTCCAAAAAAAGAAAATATTTCATCTTATTCCATTACTCTAAAATTGATTTTAAATTTTGTTTCATTTTGGCTTAAATACATAATAGAAATACATTAAATATAATTGTAGTGGCTTGTGCAAACACAAGTGGAAATCATTCATTTTATTCAATATATAAAAATAAAGAAATAGATGATAAACATAACGTCTTTCTAAGAGCCCCGGCTTGCCAATTATTTTAATAGTACCGCGCTTTGCATTAACAGTCGTGGCATATATCGATTATTGGTTAACATGAACAGTCGATAAATTTGCATAGCTGTTAAATTTGCTCAAAAACAGCTGGAGGTTGCAGGAAAGCCGCAAATAAGAATTTATCGCATTTTAGAAATCGATACAGATTGTCTATCGACTACAAATTTGTAGTCAGTGTAAATCGTTTGTAAGAACAGCGTGTTTGTAATACATACATATGTACATTTTTCAAATAAGCTAAGGTGAATAATATTTAATACCTACGTGAGGCACACATATCTAATATAATATTAATTAAGTTACTTAAGCACCGTGTGTTAAAGTCGTACGCGTGAAAAATGCAAAACATTCTGGCTGACTCTGCGTGCGGCTTCCCATATTCGGTTTTGCGTTAATTTGCAAACAAGCCAAATAAATGAAAAAGCACCAAAAGGCTAGCATAGGATAATCAAAGTTTTCAAAATGCATGCACATATTGCCGCATAATGTTTGTTTTGTTCTAAAGCACGAGCAGCAGAAAAAATGCAGAATTGATCAAAAATGCCGCAAACAAAAACAAAACAAATACACAGGCAAACGGCGGCTGCAGCATTTTGTGTATGAGTGTGTTAAAGTGTGTGTGTATGTGTATTTGCACCTAATCAAATTTTATACGCGCTCCAAATCGATTGAAATGTTTGTTTGATGTAAACATGCTTTAATGAATCTATTAAAATGGTCCAAGCACAACAAATGTAATTAATTTACAAATAGGCTCGCGTGCACGCAAATGCGTGCGTGTGTGTGTATGTATGTGTGTTTGACTTGCGTTTTTTTTTTTTGAGTTACGCATCTATTGAATAACTTCGACAGTTGATGCTTGAAAAAGTTTTTCATTTGAACTTCATGTGCCAATTTTTATTGATAAATTTAGATAAATATAATTTCGCAAATTTACCAAAATGCAACCCTGCAGGCATTGTGCACTTGTACTCGAGCAGCTGTTCCATTGCTCTTGATGTTACTATCTCGTTTCTGTTTATCGGGATGCGTGCGGCAGCGCGGGCTTAAACTATTTGAATCATTTGACGAAAAATATATAGTGCGTGCATGTAGTGAAGCTTATCGTTTTTTAAGTTGTAGGCCCCTCATATAAAAAATGTTTTAAGCAGCAATCAATTTTTTTCTTATGTTTAATATATTAACAGTATTGCAGCTGCAGTCCCTGTTAAGCTGATAATATTCTTGTTATTCGAATTTATTTTGTCATTTTCAGCATTGACCAAATTTGGTCACACTTTTTTGCGGCACATGCTCTCTCTGCCGCGTTCTCTCTTTATGTCTGTCGCTCTGAGCGCAATCTCCTGCTGGTTTTGTGTGTTTTCGACGCTGGCGCTGTCTTTGCATTCGCATTCGCTTTATTATCGTTCTCGCGACGACGACGTCGAAGAATTCTTAGCCGTATTCTTCTTCATCCTGTGTAAATAATTGTAATTTAAATAATTTAAATTAAACACAAAAACCACGCAAAACTAATAAGATAAGCAAGTTGAGGGCATTTCGCGCGTGTTTACCAAGTCATTAAGTGCATGTGTAAGTGCCGAAAAAAAAAAGAAAACTATACTATATAGAAATATTCAATTCTATACATATTCAATTTTTCGTTTCGAGACATTTTTGCTCGCCTGCCTCTTTTTTACATTGTCATCGTCGTTTCCTTCTTGCTGCGACTGCGGCGGCGGCTGCAAAAATTTGTTATATATGCAAACACATGTGTATATATACATGTGTGTGTGTGTCTTATATACATAGGTAAATCCAGACGAGCATCGGCTGCACAAACACACTCATATTTAGACGCACACGGCCGATTTATACATATATATACACACATGTATATAAACATGTATAAATAGTCGCAAAAACACAAAAAAAAAAAATAATTGTAAGTTTCTGAGCACGCAAGTCGCGTGCGTCGCTACTTAAAATAAAAGGTAAAAATCAATTAAATGCTTCCTTTTATGCGTGTGTTTCCCTTTGGTTTTGCGCTATATTTTTTTAAAACTGCCTGTAAAAAAAATTACTTTTCCGATTGGTTCGCAAAATGTCCAGAACGTTCTTGTTTGTGTGCGTGCATACGGCAGTGTGTGTGAGTGAGTTTGTCGTCGTCGTCTGTCCGTTCGTCCATTATCCGCCTGTGCCTTGTTTCATTTTCTTCCTTGTCAGCGGCAGCCATTTGCTTCTTCTTTACATTTGCACGGCAGTGTTTAAAATATTTTATTTCGCTTACGCTCTTGTACTGCACGTTTGCGCTCTTGTTCTCTCGCCGTGTCCCCTGCATTTGTATACAATAATTTTCCCAATAAGAGCGCCGCTTTCGCCGCCGACGCAAAAATAAACAAACTGACTACGAAATTTTGTTAAGTACTTATTTAACTTAATTAAACTACTTTGTTTTTCATTTTTTGTACATTCTTACGTATTTAATAAATATTCACGGCTGCGCTTGCCACACCCCCCCTTTTAGTTGCTTTGCGCATCGCTCGCTTCGGGCTCCTTTTTATGCTGTTTGTTCTCGTGCTTTTGTTTTTCACATGTCTCTTTTTGGCGTTTATCTTTATGTTTGTTTTTGTATCGACTGCTCGCGTGTGTGTGTGTGCGTGTGTGAGTGAGGCCCCCGTTGGGCGCTGCGGTTTCGCACGCTGCACTTGTCTTTTGCGTCTGCTCTGGGTGCTCTCTTTGGCTGTTGGTGGGAGGGGGATAGGGTGTGGGTAAACTGTCGCTGGATTTGCCTGCTCGCGCGCATATAAACAACAGAGAAACATATGATGGACGGGCCGATTGCTTACATATTTTGTAACTTAACCTCAAAACGTTGCGGCCTCTGTTGCCGGCCGCCGTTCACTTCGTCTTCGTTGTTGTTGTTGTTGTTCTTCTTCTTCTTCTTCTTGCTGTGTGTATATGATAATTTATATGTTTTTCCTTTAGCCTGCCCCCTTCGGCTGCTGTCGTTTTCTTTTTCGTACTTTTCGCAGCGCATGATTCAGCGTCGCTGCCGCGTTGTTCTTTGCAATTGCTGTTGATATTCGGCTTTAGCTTCAATTACTGCTCCTGTTTCTTCTTCTTTGTCTTGCACGGTTTCTGCTTTGTTATTGTTTTCGTAACGCGGCAGAGGCTCATTTAAAATTTTGAAGATTTTGTTAAGCATATTCTTGAGCTGGTTATCTGTCTGCCCTTCCCTAACGTTATCTTGGTTTCTCTACCATGACCAGCTCAAAGTAGGCACAGTGGTTCCTATCTGATTGAAAATGTATTGAATTGAATATATCGATAGAATGCATACTTATCGATGCTTAATCGAATTTTTAACGTGCTCAATTATAAAATATGTAATAATACTTATCTATTTTCTTTCTCTTTGCAGTTTGTGTATATTTTCATCATTAAAACGCCGTGTAAATTAAAATCATCCTAATTATAATTCAAAACAACAACCCCAACAACAACAGCTACAAACATAAAATCAACAACAAAAAATTTCAATCGATCTGTAAAAAAAATTATTTATGAAATTTGTAATTTTTTAACCAGCTCTCATACGTATTTATTGAATGCATTGCAAAGAAAAAAGTTCATTTGTTTGGTACCACTGTGTAAAGTATTATTCATAAATTGTGTTAAATAGTGTACATTTTTGTAAAAAAAAAAAACCAAACCAAACCAAACGTGCAAGTTTTTTTTTTCGAGTGTAAAGAAATACAAACGATAAATGTAATTAAATATCTCAAATCACTGTAAATTAATATTAAATATTAAGAAAGAGCAAAGTGTGGTTTCTATGCATGTATAAAACAACAACAACGACGACAAAACAAAAAAAAAAAAAAACAAGCAAAAAACACGAGAAATTGAATTTACGGTACCCCCTTTAATGTGTCATTTGCATAGCTCTCGCCCCACTGTGCACGCGACGTGTTTGCAATTTTTTTAAATTGTAGCTGCAACGAAACGTCGTCCAGTTGCTTTTAAACTGTTGTTCTCGTTCCGTCAAATTTTTTGTACGTTTTTGTTTTTTTTTTTTTTAAATTTTATTTGGTTTTTGTTTGTTTTTGCAATACGCGACAAGTCGTCAGCTGAGCGTGCAGCAAACAGCCGCCAAAATTGAGCTGTTAAGCGCGCCCACAATCTCGATATCGACGGTAGTGCCCACCACGTCGCCATCGCCGCAGCATCATCTCCAGCCGCAGCAGCAGCAGCAGGGGTCGTATCATCAACAGCAGCAGCAACAGCAGCAGCATTACGGGCAGCCCCAACTGCCGCCGCTGCCCTCACCATACTTTCAGCATCTGCAACAACAACAACAACAACAACAACAGCAGCAGCAACAACAACAGCAGTTACAACACATGAAGTTTCTGGGCGGCAATGATGATCGCAACGGACGCGGCGGCGTCGGCGTTGGCAGCGACGCAATCGTCGTAGGCGGCACACGCGGCTCCAATTCGCAGGACGTGGACGCAGCAAGCGCTGCGGCAGCCGCTGCTGCCGTTGGCTTCGTTTTTCAGCAGCGCCCCTCGCCCGGTGGCGGCGCTGGCGTCGGCGTCGGTCCCGTTGGCTCCACCTTGCAAGACGCCGCAGCCGCCGAATATGCGGCCCACTTTGCCCAAAAGCAGCAGCAGACGCGATGGGCATGCGGCGACGAGCACGGCATCGATGTGAGTATATAAACAGAATGAAGTATTTATGTATGTATGTGTACACATATATAGGCATGTATAGTATAGACATGTACAAACAAGTTAGATTTGGCTCGGCGCCAGCGTGCACTCTAAACCAAAAGCAAAGCCAAAGGACAGTTTCATGGAGTAGGGTGGAGTAGGGTTAGGGAGGAGGGGTAGATTTTGCTCTCTGGCATTGTTTGTTGCTGAGCTTCTTGTTTTGGTCACTAAAATGTCTCAATTATGTATATAATACATATGCATATACGTTTAAGCTGTCTCCGTAGCAGCTGATCGCCAGTGTTGCATAGGCTTGTCAAAAAGTTATCGATTAATTTGCGTAAAACAGAGAGCCTTAGCCGTTATTCACACTATTCTCAAAGCTAGAAAATGTTTCCTTAGTAAAAACCAAAGAGTAAAACATTTCAGGTTAGGCATCCATTTTTTCTAAACAGTAAAAAAAGTTTGAGATATAAAAAGGGTATTGTTTATCGCAATTAAACATTTTATAGCCTGATTTTACTATGGCCAATATATGTTACATTTACAACATTCTGCGACAGTTGTTGGTAACATATGAATTTTCCCTCGAAAGGTCAAATAGGGGCTGTATTTAAAGGACTCTTTGCTGGATTTGGTTATCTTTAAATGTTAAAAACTGTGGGATCACTAAAATTTAAAAATTTATGGGAAAACGTTCAGACAACAAATTTGACATTCGCAAAAAATGTAAACTATGTTGGCAGTGGAATTATGCTACTAAAATAGAGAATTTTCAGAAAGTCCAACAAATAAGTTAACAGAATATCTTAAATGTAGAATATATTATAAAGAGATAATATTGTATCTGGGTCAAATATGATCTTAAGTTTTAAGACTTCAAAATCTCAATGAAAATGAATTGAGTTCCATGTTCCCTTTAACGAGATTTAAGGCCCGATAAACCAAATTTGATTAGTTTAATTTTGTTTAAAGCTCTTGTAACAATTTTGTTTTCATTTAAAACATTCTCGCAGCAACACTTTTTACGGCAACGGTTCCAATATTTTCCAGCATTTTCAAATTAGAATTTTTGTTGTTTTTTGTTTTTAGCAGTTTAAAGAATTTTTTGCTATGTGCCCATTCTTCATCGCATTCTTCCGCTGCCTGGAGCCTCCGTTTTTTAGATTTTGTTTGCTTTTCTTGCAGCCTCTTTCCTGAATATACCCTGTAGCCAAGATTGTGAAGTGGGTGTATACGTTGATTCGTAACATTAAAGTGGCTTATGTGTAGAAATATAGTTGATATTTTATTTGGGGGCAGAGTTATCGCAAATTGACAGCCGAAATTGGAGTAAATTATTCAGGATAAGTTCGTCACGCTAAGAATCATTATTTTAGTTGGTATAAACAAACATTTCATTAAAGAAATTAAAGAATTTTGTGAGTGTTTGACTAATTTTAGATGCAAACGGAAATCATATGTATTTTTAGTCCGATAACCATACTTTTAACAGCTTTCACTTTTTACATAAAAAGGATATTAACGAATTTAAAACTTGAACAAATAATTTGAAGTTTGTTTTTCTTTATATTGAAAACATACGATTGTCAGGAGCGTGGCGCTAGAATTACCCATATATACAGAAAGTAGCTGATTCCCAGATCTAAAGTTGCTAAAAATAGCTAGTTTAGCTTTCTGATCATTCGGATGCCAAAAAAAGCTAAATCAGGCAAAAACTTTAACTGCTTTCAGAGTATTACCAAATGTAGCTAGAAAAGGGCTAAAATAAAGTTAAAATTTTGCATTTGTTAGTTTGTTTGTTTTATTTTAACCCTATTGAAGTTATATTTTATAAATATCTTATAGGGTATCTACAAGTCACGATTGCATCTTTTTTCTAGCACTTTGACTTCCGTTGCGATATTTTTTCCATGGCAAATGCCAAATAAATGTAAGAGAAGTACGAGTTGTGAATTTGTTGTTTTATCAGGAGGTTATTCAGTTTTATTAAGGCCAACTTGTGACGTTGGCTGGGCTGACGAGGGGGGGGGGGGGGGGGGGGGTGTTCATGGGGGAGCTCGCTTCCAGGCGGTGCCCGAAAGGTTACATAAACAGCAACCAACTTGGCAACGTGCAACCGACATTTTGTTCTATTTTTAGTAATTTCAAGGATAAACGGATTACATATTTATATATATATATGTATCTTTATGTTACTTTCAGAATCCGGATAAATGGAAATACAATCCACCCATGAATCCGGCGAATGCCGCGCCCGGAGGCAGCAACGGCGGCCCCGGAGCCATAGGCACCATTGGCATGGGCGCCGGCAGCGGGCTGGGCGGCATGGGCGCCGGCAGCGGCACCAACGGCGGGGGACTGCATCATCCATCGATGGCGGCCGCAGCGGCCAATATGGCTGCCATGCAACAGGCGGCCGCCGTGGCCAAGCACAATCACATGATGTCGCAGGCGGCCGCCGCAGTTGCTGCCCAACAGCAACAACAACAACAGCAACAACAACACAATGCGCAGGGACCGCCGCATCATCTTATGGGCGGCGGCAATGGGCTGGGCAATGGCAATAGCCTAGGCGGCCTGGGTCAGCCGCATCCAGGCCAGCAACTACAACAACAACAGCAGCAACAGCAACAGCAGCAGCAGCAGCAACAACAGGGCCAACAACCCGGCCAGGCACATCTCGGCCAGCATCAATACAATTCGAATCTGCTCAGCCATGTGATGAATAACCAGGTGGCAGCTGCCGTTGCCGCCGGCGCCACCATGGGCCATATGCCGCCCTACGCCCAGTCGGCTGCTAGCGGCAGCATGTACGATCACCATGGCGGTAGCGCACTGCATCCGGGCATGAATGGCGGCATGCCGAAGCCGCCGCCGCCGCCGCTGGGTCCGCCCGGGGGTCCACAGGATTTCGTCTATATGGGCGGGCAGCCGCATGCCGCTGCCGCTGCAGCCGCCGCTGCGGCCATGGGCGCAGCTCTGATGCCGCCGCAGAATCAATATATGAACAACTCGGCGGCAGCAGCCGTCGCCGCCGCCAATCGGAATGCAGCGGTGAGTAGAATCGGGCGAATATACATACATATGTATATATATATTTAGAAGAGTTTGCCCCGGCTGTATGAAAATTTTGGTCAAAGTTTTAATGAAAATAACTCAGCAAATGTAACGTCATACGCCTGTGTGGCTGTTGCTTAAGCGTCGCACCCTGGAGGGTGAGGACGCTGGTTCAAACTGTCAAAGATAAAAGCATCACAAAGAAGGGTTTGACTTGGTTGACGCCGTCTAATTTCTTGTTTTTTTTTACACATTCATGTAAATAGGGTTAACCAACAAGCGCTTAGATAAGCTTCTAAGTGGAGCTAATCAATTTGATTTGTTTTTCCACTTCTGTTGATATCATCAATTTTGATTGATGATGATTAAAATGTGCTAGGACTAGCATTTGGGTCATTTGTGTGAAATATTTAACTGTTATGAATATGAAACATAGGCTTCGAATTTGAAGTCGTACGAACCGGTTCGAATCCCCAAGTTCAATTTGTTTCTTTTGGCCTGACAACTAGACCTAACCTCACTTTAGCTAAACCATATTTAACAAATTGTGGAACTTAAGAACACTGTAAAGTCGAATGTTATTTAAATCAAATTTGATTTCTTAAAAAACGTAAATCGTTTGCAAATATTTCTCAAATTTCTTTAGAGTTATTTATTTCCAATTAATGTTGAAATCTGAGCAAATGTATTGTTGTGATAACTCCCCAATATTCAGTTTTTTTTTTAGCGTTAAGTATATTTTTTCTGTTCGATATTCATATTAGATAATATTTGTTATCGCACAACGAGCTGGTTCTCTATAAATGCCGTTGTCTGGTTTTTGTAGACAATAGGGGCAGCCGGCAACAAATATAGCACTAGACTGTTTTAACTCGCCCTCACTATTCAATAAAACTGTTTAAAACTGTTTGTTCTGACCGACTGAGTGATTGACTGACTAACTGATTCACTGACTGACTGACTAACTGACTGATTGATTGACTGACAGATGGATTGACTGACTGACTGTCTGATTGATTGACTGAATGATTGACTGACTGACTAACTAACTCACTGATTGACTGACGGACTCATTTACTGACTGACTAACTGAATGATTGACTGATTGTCTGACAAACTGATTGACTGACTAACTAACTTACTGATTGACTGACCGACTGACGGACTCACTTACTGACTGACTGACTGATTAACTGAACGACTCACTGACTGACTGATTGACTGTCTGACTGACTGATTGACTGACTGATTGACTGATCGATTACTCAGTTACTGAGTGACTGGCTAACTAACTGATTGACTGACAGATGGATTGACTGATCGACTGACTGACTAACTGACTGATTGACTGATGGACTCACTTACTGACTGACTAACTGAATGATTGACTGATTGTCTGACAAACTGATTGACTGACTAACTAACTTACTGATTGACTGACCGACTGACGGACTCACTTACTGACTGACTGACTGATTAACTGAACGACTCACTGACTGACTGATTGACTGTCTGACTGACTGATTGACTGACTGATTGACTGATCGATTGACTCACTTACTGAGTGACTGGCTAACTAACTGATTGACTGACAGATGGATTGACTGATCGACTGACTGACTAACTGACTGATTGACTGATGGACTCACTTACTGACTGACTAACTGAATGATTGACTGATTGTCTGACTGACCGACTAACTTACTGATTGACTGACGGACTCACTTACTGACTGACTGACTGATTGACTGTCTGACTGACTAATTGACTGTCTGACTGACTGATTGACTGATCGATTGATTCACTTACTGACTGACTGACTAATTAACTGATTGACTGACTATCTGACTGACAGACTGTCTAACTGACTGATTGACGGTCTGACTTACTGACTGATTGAAGAATTTTTTGAGCTAAGTTTTAAGTTTTGCCCGATTTGGGTCAAAGGTTAAATAAACGAAAGTTTATTCTTCAGCTTCAAGATTCTCACTAACATGAGCGGAAAGTGTTGATTCCAACACTTGCTTAAAATATATTTTTAAATAGAATTGTAGATCAAGATGGGTAGATTTAAATTTTCCACGGGCGTGTAAAGGTAATATTTAAAATTTGTAGCACAAAACGTTCCACGGGCAAGGCCGGGCAATACTCGCAAGGTTATATATATTATGTGTTATAATATTATCTCACAGGGAACCTGAACACTAAACGCAGCCAATGGCTAAACCTAAACTTCAAGCCTTAACCAAAGTATCTTATGGACAATTCAATATTTGGACTTCAAAGTTTTTTCACCGCTTCTTTTTCTGAGCCAAGTTTTTCACCAACTTTTCTTTTCGCCTGCAGAGAAAAAGATTTCCACAGTTTACTTTTATGTTAGTTGCACTTTTAGTTTTTGCCATTTCGGGCTCGTATCGTAAAATTTGTTCATGAGTGTTTGGTTAATCAATAATTTCGTTGGCTTTTATGGTTAGTTGTATACACTCCCCCTTCCCCTTCCCCGTCCCCTGAAAGAAAAGCCCACCCCAAAAATTTTGTAGCCGTAAATTGCAAAGTTTTTCCTTTTTCTCCTACTTGTTTTTCATTTCTGAATTTGTGTTTTTTTCTTTGTATGCGGCCCTTCCGAGTTTTGCCTCATAGACATATCATAAAATTAATGATTGTTATTGCTCGGTTTTTCTATTTTCCTTACATTTTCCATTTTTTCGCCCATGTGTGAAATACATTTTTCTTTGTGTGCGTGCCGAATGAAATATTTTTCACATGCACGAATCTATTGCCTTTGGGCTAGACGTAGGATGGGACAGAAAGAAAATCTTAAGGATTATTGTCCAATAATTGTTAACCGTTTTTCTTAGGGGCAGATAGCAGGAGACTGTTAGGCTTTTTTTAGGGGGAGTTGGGAGACAATTTCGCATATAAGCTCGGATATTATTACCTTTAGTTAGGGGCTTTAACTTGATAAGCTTTATTAAGAAGCCTTTTATTAAATGTGGATAAAATCCTTATTTTCTTATGTTTATTTGAGATAATGGAAAGTTTGTTAACGATTATTTGATATCCTGAAAAATCCTTAAAATAAACACATAAAATGGTTCGGTTCTGCGAATTTATCGCTCACCATTTATAGCTTTATCAAGTTATCAAAGTAGCTTGACCAAACTCATCGTTTATTACTTTTGTTATGCTTCCCATATATATATGGGAAATCCGATCAACATCGGACCACTATATATTATATATAGCGCCCATAGGAACGATCGATGGAAATTTAAGTTGTTCTATGGAAAACGTGGCATTTATAAGTTTTCATATGCTCCCTACAAATATACAAAATCATATCCACATTGGAATGCTATATCATATAGTTACCATAGGAACGATCGGTCGAAAATGAGGTTATTGTATGAAAAACTTTTCGGCATTAACTATTTTCGGTGTGCTTCTTAGATACGAGTATAGCATTATGAGCTTTATGAAAATGTTCAGTTTGCAAGGGTATTAAATCTTCGGCGTGCCGCGGATAGCCCTTCTTTATCGTTAAGTTTTTTTAGCTAATCAAAAGTTTATCGATTTTTTTTATCATGAAAATTCCTAAAAATATAGGTAGAGAATGGGGCGGTTCTGTCATTTTATCGCTCCCTATTTCTACTTATAAATTATTATTTTAATCATTTTTATACCCTGAACCCATTAAAAATGGGTATAAGGGTATATTGCCTTTGTGCAAAATCCAAATGTATGTAACAGGCAGAAGGAAGCATCTCCGACCCCATAAAGCATATATATTCGTGATCAGCATCAATAGCCGAGTCGATCTAGCCATGTCTGCCCGTCTGTCTGTCTGTCCGTCTGTCCGTCCGTCCGTATGTATGAACGCAAGGATCTCAGAACCTATAAGAGCTAGAGACTTGAAATTTTAGATGTAGGTGCTCCTAGTGCATGCGCAGATCGATAATCGATAACTTCGTTTCCAAGCAATCGATAAAAATCGATATCGATATCCTGTTTTTTGGGCAATTTTGGTAAATAATAAGAGCTAGAGTCACCAAGCTTGACATGTTGCTTCTAAAATAGAATATACATATATATTCATTTGATGTTGGAAGAAGAGGGTTCAGGGTATCCACTAGTCGGGAGCTCCCGACTTGAACCTCTTACTTGTTTAAAGAATAATCTATTTTTAGTTTTTGGCTATTTAATAGTAAGCCATAGATTGGGGTTGTAGATGGGTTCTTGATCAAGAATTTTCATTTTTGGCATAACATAAATTTTGGCTTCAAGATTTTCTTGCTGCATACCATTTGCCTTTCTAAATTGTTCTTTTAATAAGCCTCGAAAGTCGATTTATCAAATTAGCAATTATTTACCGTATTGGTTATTTTAGGTTTTCGCTCTTCTCACCTCTTCTTCGAATTCGCTTCTGCTTCTTGCTAGCCAGCTGGCTGTTGTTTTTAATCTTGAGACACGTTTTGAAGCTTTGTCTCTTTGCTTTGCTGATGGCTTCTTGATTGCCTCGCACTTCTATTGCAGCCCCCCCTCCGCCCTCTCTGTTGCTCTGTCCGTCTGTTTATAGTTCTCTGTTCTGTTCCGCTAACAAATGCATTCCGGTTGCAATTTTCTGCCTTATAAGCGTTGCATACACACACGCACACACAGACGAACGCACACGCACACATGTGAGGCACACATGGAGGCATTCGTTTGCAGTACTCAGAAACCACTCGCATTTATAAATAAAAGAATTTAATACTCGACATGGACTTAATGAGCTCTTAACTGGCTCCACTTACAGTTTTTTTTCTACCTGTACTTCTAACTCACCCTCCTCCTGTTCCGATGCTTCGTCGTGTTGTTGTTGCTGCCGTGTCTCAAATGTTTATAAAAAAAAGCCATTTTAATTAAAGAATTTCACTCGCTGAGGTTGTTACTGCCTTAGAAGAAGAAACGGCTTGTGGTTGAGGTACTTTAAGCATGTACGTTCGTTTTTCATGCGCATTTGAAAATTCTAATATTTGTTACTTTTTAGGTTAGTTTTTAATGTTTGTTTGAATCAGTTCCTGTAAGGGTATTCACTCGTCGCATTGCGCTGCTCTGCCAAATTTATGCATTTATTATTCAATTTTTAATTTATTGATATATTTTGTCTGCTCGTAGCGTGTTCAGTCGTCGCATTTCTTTCTTTTCTCTCTTTTAATTCCTGTCCCTTTTATTCGTTATGGTTGCCTACGCGCTACCTTTTTTTCGCAACAACTTCCTTTTGCGCTTAATTCGCAAACTGTTTGGCTGCAGCAGCGCGCAATACGAAATACTAAACAAATTTATTGCAATTATGCCAGGACAGCAGCCGCAGCAGCAGCCGCAGGAGCAAAGCGAACATAAAACACAGACTTAAATTTGTAGACGTGTGTGTGAGCTTTTGTTTTGTTGCTATCGTTGTTACTCCACTTTTTAGCACGTTCGCCTTATGTATATGTATGCGTGTGTGTGTGCCTGTTGTGTGTGTGACAGAGCCAGGGCCCCAGTCAGCATCACCAGCGAGCATTTGCCATCTTTTCAACACTATGCTACGCTCTCGCTCTCACTCCCTCTCTCTGTAGCTGCCGCTGCGTTTACTCTCATTGTTGTTGATGTCGTAGGTCATTGATTTGCGCTTAACTGCGCGGCGCTGCCGGCAGCAGCTTCATCCGCGGGCACTGCTTCCCCCCAACTCCCGTGCGCAGCCCTTTATTTCTGTCTCTTATTTTTGCGTACAGGTTTTTGTTGTTGCCGTTGTTTTTGTTCGTTGCATGTGGCGCATTCGTCGTTCTGTTTTTCTGGTTCTCTTCTGCATGTGTTCTTATTACTTTTTCTTGCATGCTGTCTGCCGCCTCGCTGCTTCTGTTGTTGCTGTAATTGCCATTTTCTTTTTGCTCGCTATGCTTCGTACTTGTTTTTTTTTTGTCTGTGTTCTTCGTTTTTTTTGCCTGTGCTGTAAAGATTTAAATGTGTGTCTGTGTGGTGTCTGATTTTGAGCGCAGCTTTTATTTTGTTGTCTTTGTCTTGCTCGCTGCTTTTGTTGTTTGCGCTTGCCTGCTGCGCTGTGGCTGGCTGCTAATGGACGTCTGCAGCGTTCACTGATTTGGGGCGTCCTTAGACGCTTTTTAATTCACGCGAAAACTTTGTAATTGTGTGCGTTTGAGAGATGTGTGCGTATAGAATTTTTAACCCTCTTATTGTAATGGTAATGTTAACCCAGATTTTTATGGAAAGCGCTTGAATGGACTACAGTGAGGCTTGTCATTTTTGTAAGCTATGACTTCAATTAAAGTTAAATCAGTTGCCTAATTACAGTTGTACTTGCCACAAACTTGTGCAGCGTTTGTTCAATAAAACCACCCGCCTTGCACCCCTCCCCCCTCCTCTCCCCGCAAATTGCGATGTTGTTTCGGTTTATAATTATAATTATTACACTTGTTAACTTTATCACTTCTGGACTTGAGTAAAACAATTTGCTGTTGTTGCGCTTGCTCTGCTTCTGCTGCTGCTAATTCTTCTTCTTGCTCTCTAATTTCACACACACTGCACGCAGTGAGGTCTTTGCTATGTTTGCCGTGCCTCACCTTTTGCTTCACACACACACACCCCCCCCCCCCCCCCCCCCCCCCCCCTTCAGTGTGCTTGTACTTCGCTTCTAATTGAACAAACGCCGCAGTCGCAGTTGGCGCTGGCGGCAGCGCACTTTTTGCCGTTTCTTTTGGCCGCGCGGTTGCCAATTAGCGAAAATGTTTGCCTGTTACCTGCAATTTTCCAGCAACAGCACGGGACAAGAGAATAATAGCCGGGAAAGTTAGTGATGGACTAGAAGATACTTTGTAATCGGTAACAGACCACAAGCCAAGCTAATGGTAAGGCATACCCTGTTCTGAATTAGAAAGAAAGTTTTAGTTAAGAGTCTGCTTAAATAAGAGTTACCTTGTACTCAATAAAAAAAACTTGCGTAGTAGTAGTAGATTCTCTGTACTCGGTCAGAAGGCTCTAATCGGGACACTGACAGACTGGAAGATACCCTGTACTCAGCAAGCAAGGTAATTGTAAATATAACCTAAGAGTGCGGAACTGGTAGATACTTTGTACTTTGTCGATACCCTGTAATTAGCAAGCAAAGTAATTGCAAATATAACCTATAGGCTTCAAAGGGAATCCCATTCCTGAGAGTCTAAACTTGAATAGCTTTAAAGAGTTTACGTCCTGCTACTGATAAGATACCTTAAGAATTATATCGTTGGTTTTCATTGCTTTGTAGGGTGTATACATCAGATATCTGACATAGGATTTAGAATTTTTAAATTTTTCACATGTATAGTTTGTGTTTTATTCCAATATATTTACACTTATTTTAATTCGATGTTAGAGGGTTACACGACCTATTAATGACAATCTAATTTAATATGGACGAAAATGATGGAACCAAAACTTTCTTCAGTGTCTTAAGCGCATTCTCAAGTAATCTTTTCAATCGATTGTTTACCTTCAATCCCGGTAAGAATCTCATATGCGCACCCCTCGCCATACATACCTGCCTGGGAATGTTGCGATTGGGCGCTGAGGACGAGACTACGACTGCCCAGGAGTTAGACAATAGAGTTGGGTTTACCTCTATACATGGGACGGAGATAGCCGAGGATTTTCATAATACTTTGAGCTCTTATCAGGAGTCCAGCGTGCTGCACATGGCCTACAAAATATACCTAATGCACAACTATGAGATACGTCAGGAGTTTCACAATATGCTGACTGAGAACTTCCATTCGGAGCCCGAGCTTATTAACTTTTCTGAGAATATAGATGCTGCAAACACCATAAACGAGTGGGTTGACACCAAGATGAATCATCTAATCAAGGATGAGGTCAGTCCGGAGATCCTTGACGATAGCACCCGCATGGTTCTCATCAGTGCGGCCCACTTCAAGGCCGAGTGGAGTAAACGATTCGAGCCGAAGGCAACACGCAGAGAATTCTTCCACATGGATGACTGGAACAAAGTCAAAGTGCACATGATGAATGTTTTTCATGAATACTACTACGCCGAATTGAAGGACCTCGATGCGAAAGTTCTGCGTTTAACATTTAGAAATACAGAACTACAAATGCTTATAATTTTGCCCAACCGGAAAATGGGTCTGGAGAATCTATTGAAAATATTATCTAGAAAATCTCTGCAGAATATTATTGCAATGCTTGCCCTAAGGCGAGTCAATATAAAGTTGCCAAAATTTTCAACGGAATTCGAACAGGAACTGACGCCCCTTTTCATAGAGTTAGGAGTGAAAAGGGTTTTCATTGACAAAGCCGAACTCGGCAAAATGTTGGAAACGAATCAAGTGCTAAAAGTCTCTAAAATTCTCCACAAAGCATACATCGAGTTCAACGAAGAAGGCAACGAGGTAGAGCCCTTGGGCGAACCGGTTGTGCCTATTGTCAGGGGCAAACCACGAAATCCGCTCCCGCCCGTCAATTTTTTTGCGGATCATCCCTTCTATTATGCCATCTATGATGAAAGCCATGGTCCACTCATTGCAGGTGGCTTCCAAGTACCAACGCCTGCCGGTTGTATTGATAATCCAAAGAAGCCCTGCTCTTGCGAGAGATGAGACAATAAATTCTATAGGGAACTATACCGAACATATATCATATCAGTTAATGATTATTATAGGTAGTGTATAGGCGTGTAACCCCATTAATAAAGATCTAAATTTGTTAAAATTTAGTGTGAAATAAACGCAAGCTTTACTATAACAAGCAGTATAAATAATATAAAATTACACAACTGGGACACATTTAAAGGGTATACAAAAGTTCACCCCGCATAATGCACTGATTATTTGTTGTTGCTTTTAACAAGCGTGCGAAAAAGTTCTGCAGTCGACGGCGAAGTCGCAGTCGCTGCCTTCGATTGATTGATTTGCATTGCCGGCTAGCTGGCTTAGTTATTCTCTTCGCTCTCACACACACTTGCTCTCTCTGCATATGCTTCTATTATTTATGTCGCACAGCTAAAGCACAGTTTGTATTTGCCTCTTCTTCTCTCTAACTGTCCCCAATTATCTGCATTAATTAAATAAACATTTTAAATGCAGTGTCCAATTGCTTGACAAATTAATTTATTAGTTTTACCGCCCGCTGACTATGAGTCAAATGATTTTAATTGCCACTCTACCCTTACAAAAGTGTTGATTATTAGTTAATTCACTCAGTTTGCACACAAAAGTTCTACAAATAAACCTCACAAGCTTTTATAAAAAGATTTGAGTGTTTCACAGCTTGGCCCCACGTTTATCTTATATTTCTTCTTTTTCTGCAAACAGCAAACAGCTGCTTAAACAGACGACGCGCTGTCAAATCATGATCGCAGCACACAAGCAAATGAGTACAATCGGTGTGAGAGGGGCGCTCAACCCATACATCAAAAGCGTCAGTTGAGCTGCGCTCAATAGTTTGTTCTCTTCCACTCACATTACGTAAAACTATGCCAAATGAGGCTTAACGCACACGCACACAAACACATGCACGCACAACAAATGTCACATACAAAGGCAGGCAACGAGAAAATAGAAAAAGTACGGCACACGTGTGTTGTGTGAAGAGGGGATCTGCTGCAGCCGGCTTGAAGCTTTGTGGGTCTCCTCTCATTAGCGTCAACGTCGACGTTGACGTTGCTGCCTGGGCAGCATAAATTGCCGCCAAGCATGTATGTAAATACACATGCATGTGTGTTATGTATTATCGCTAAGAGCCGCGAGCAACAGCTGCTATACCGCTGCTCTCTCGCGCTCGCACTCTTTTTGTCTCATGCTCTTTTGCTGTTCGCAATTTGCCATGTTTCGCTTTTGCCGACGGAGCAGCAGGCGGCCGCGTAGAATTTTCAGTTTGGCCGCAACAGTTGACTCGTCTGCATGCTGTATCATTTTCGCCAGGCCCCCCATCCGTCCGTTTGTGTGTGTGGAGTTCTCGTCTGCGATCGTTAAGCACGTTTTTTATTGTGTGTGTGTGTGTGTGTGTGTGTGCATGTGCGCCGGTTGCGGGGCTAAATGAGAGTGCAAACAAACAATCGAGCGCGTGAAAAATTACCCCAAGCTTTTTTTGCGTGAAATGAAATTGTAAATGCTGTAAATGCTTGCAACGTGTTGTTATACATACATATGTGTATATGATAGTATGTGTTTGTGTTGGTTATGTGAAAAGCGCAGCTGATGCCCTTCAATTATTGAAGCTGTTGAAAAGTCGAAATCAATATCGAAATTAATGTATAAATCATAAATAAGGTTGTATAAATAGCACCAACAAGAACTACTACAACAAAAAGAAAATAAGCCTGTGTAACGTGTTTTGTGTGTGTGTGTATGAGTGTGTTCCATTACCTTGGCGTGTTCTGTTCGACTCTACATCTCTCGCTCTCGCTGTCTGGAATCAGAAACTCTCGCTCTCTGGATCGTTCGTTGTGTTTGGCTAATTCCAGCCTGCCTTCTCATGATGAAACTACTGCACGACTTCATGTTGGATGCGCGCACTGCCGAGGATATTGCACTCACACAGGAAATGGTAAAGCTCGTAACAGCGGCTCCCGATCTCTTCTACTTTTATTATGGCGCTTCTCACCTTTGATTGATTAGAAGCGCAAGTGTATGCGCATTTGTTTTTGTTGTTTTATTGTCTTGAGTATTTGAGTTGAGTAGAGTTGATTTTGATGAATTAACGCGTAGACGGCGTGGAAGCACTTGTTAGATGTTTATCGATGTCTCTCTCTAATTATACGCTATCCGTTAATTGCTTCTGTGTGTGCTCGAGTTTCAATCGGTGAGCTGCACCTGTTTAAAAATTTGTTTATCTTTTTTAGCGGACAATTCTAAATACATTTGCGTGTTAACAGCTATTCGCATTAAATTGTCTACTTTAAGTCATTAATCATAGATTATTACACCAGGAAAATGACTTACCCAGCTCTCGTTACTAAGGTGGTACTCGTTGCTTTAGATTATATTTATATTATAAACAATTTGTTTTTACTCGTTACTTAAAGTAACTAGTTCGTCTTATCTATAGTTTGAGTGTTTTACTCTCTTTTCTCTTTACTCTCTCTCTCCTTAATACTGTTTTTTATCGTTACTTCCCTGCTAGCACTCGTTGCTTTTCAGAGTTACTCGTTAAGCCCAAATGTTGAACAACTCGTTAGCTTTTTGAATTAGTTTACCTCTCGTTACTTCTCTTATCTATATAGATAATATACTCGTTGCTAAAAAATTAAGTAAATTCCCGCTACTTGTCAACTGACACTCGTTACTTTAGCTATTTGTTAATGAAATAGATCGATGTTGTATAAGAGTATTAAGGGATGTGGAAACTATTCAGGTTTTTTTTTGTGATATTCAAACATAGAATTAATTAATTTATCATTACAATTTGACTATTTACATTTAATAAACAGATCAAATTACTCGCTGAGTAGTTTTCGTTGATTAAATCAACTCGCTTAAGCTTATAAATTGATTAGTTTAACAACAGCTACAACTTCATTAACTAATTTGTGCAAATATTTTTAAAAAGGCGACTGGTTTTACTGCCAGATAAAACTCGAGCTCTAGGAATGAATAGAAAAGAAAAAGCCATAAAACATTTTTAGTAAATATTCAGAATTTTGTATCCATTTTGTTTGATTTATTTCTTTGCTATTAGATAATAGCACAGAGCTCACTTGCAACAAATGCGACCCCAACCCCAACCCCAACCAGAGCGACCACGGACCGACTGGCAGCAGCCGTGGGTTTCAGTTCTTTCAGTCGGCCTGGCCTGAGCTTCATAGATAAAAACATTTTGCGGTTCTTGCTATGCCCGAGCAATTGTTTTTATATGAATTTCACGTAATTTAACCCTAACTCAAAAAAAGAAATATATGTATAAATCCGATGGGGGCAACGCAGAATTCCCGAACCTAGGGGAAAGAGAGAGAGGGGTTGTATATCGTACAACAGTTTATGCTGTTTGCCCGTTTTTCTAGGTACCGGTTTCTTTTAGAAGGAATTTACATGAAAATATATATATTTTCCGGTTTCAATTATGTGCAATGTGTGTCTATCGGGGTCTCCCTTGTTTTTTGTCTAGTCTATTTCACGGTTGATTACGTCGATGTCAACGTTTTACCCGCTGCCTGATTAGCCGAATGCCTTGCAAATGGGCGTGGCCTGCAGTAATGATGATGACAATAACTATAAACGCTAAAAACAATTTAATCGTTTCAAGTTTATGGCAATCCAATATGTGTGCTTGCAAATAATTGACTAATCGCTCAATTTGTTACTGCTCATATGGAGATTGCTTTGCTTTTCTTATTCACATTCGTCTTTCGTATCTACTCGTTGCTCTTTAATCGCTAAAATGATTAGTTACTTTTTGTTTGTCATTCACTTCTATCTGAAGTCTTTTATTCAGTTGCAACATTTTGTTCATAGCTCGTTGCCAACTACTCTTTAGTAGCGGGCCGAGAACAATTATCTACTATAACTTATTAACTACTCGTTATTAAACTCACGTCGCCCCATTCTCGTCAGCAACTACTCGCTAGCATCTACTCGTTAGCAACTAATCGTTGGCAACTACTTGTTAGTAATTACTCGTTAGGAAGTACTCGTTAGCAACTACTCGTTAGTAATTAATCGTTACCAACTACTCGTTAGCAACTACTTGTTAGTAATTAATCGTTACCAACTACTCGTTAGAAATTACTCGTAATGCACTACTCGTTCCTAACGGATCGTTGCTGACTTGTTTCCAAATGCTCGGATTTTTTAAAATGCTTTTCCCTACTCGTCATAACTAGTTCGAACTTGAAACTGACAGGTCAATGATGTTATAGATTTGTAGACATGGATAACGAGAAAAATTTGAAGTATTAGACAGAGGACGAAAAGGGGCGTCGAAAAAGAGGGACCCCAAACTGAGAAGGTGGACGACAGCTGGAAACGATTTCAGTGCCAAAAGACGGAAGAACTGACAGTTAACTTGTGGGCGGTGCAAAGGAGGCGTGCTACAAATGCAATAAGCACCACAACAAAATTGCAAATGTTGCGACTGGTTGGGCTGCAAGCAAGGTAAAGAGGGTGCGGCTTATGTTGAAGGCATTCTCTTTCTCGGTCTCTCTCTTGCTCTCTCTCTCTCCCTCCACTTGTGAAGTATTGTCACGTGTCTGAGTTAAGCATTAGAACTTTGGTCGCAATGCTGCGATACCAATTCGCAATGCAGTTGAGGGACGCAGCTTTTGGAAGTTGGCTACCAAGTTTTGGCACCAAAACTTGTCAAGTGTTTCGCAATTGCATTTTGAGGAATATTGAAAATAAATTCCAAATAGATTGGCAAAATGGGACGACAAATTGAGGACGAAAAGTGTGTTTTAATATTTGATATATGCATGCAGGAGAAAAGTGTAGCTTAAATGCACACTCAAAATGAACCACTAGTTCATCTACTGGAACTAGTTCACATTAAAATTGACTCATTTAACTTTTAAACACCTTAACATCAAAGTAAAACGTTTAATGGATAACAAAAAGTTGCATTATAAATCCCATAGCGAACGGGGAAATGCCTTTTAAGTGCGCATCATTGCAGAAACAAAATAGTTTCATTCTAAACCAATTTTTCTGTTTGCAACGCAAAACATTTCCACTAAAAGCTGCGCATGCAAAGTCGCGTTTCGAATCCCAGCCCTACCCTCAATTTTGTGAAAGGAGG